TGTGGGCCTGTAGATGAGTAAATGTGATTGGCCCATTTCACTTGCACATGCTCTGCATTTAACGAACTCGAGCCTCAACTTTATAAACCTCTTGTCTTTTGTGTGAATTTATTCATTACAGTTGCATAGACCATCTATTCTCTAATGACAAAAGTTACGAGTAGTTGTTATACATGCATAACTAGTATCACACTCGTGTCTACACGGGTGCATGAAAAAATAATTTGAACAAGTAAAAAAGTTAGCTATTGTAAGTATATAAAAAATAAATAAATAGAGGTTTAATAAAACAAAAACTATTGTACATTGATGTTTTTTCTCAAATTCTACAAAATTTATTTGTACAAAATTATTAGTTCTACTTACAATTTTTTCATCCTTGTCGCAGCACAAATTTGTAATGAATTGTGACATCCGTGAATCAAGAGATTAATATATATCAATAAGATAAGAGATGTGTTTAGTTAAGATTTTATTAATGATATTATCAATTTAATTATAAAATGTAATTTTAGTTCATCAAAATCACAAACAAAGACACATGCTAAAAAAGGGCTAAAATTTATCAACTTAGAAAAAAAGAAAATGATGATGAATGGGCTAAAATTTATCAACTTGAAAAAATAAGATATGGGATTATAATTAAGATAACTGAAATTGATGAGAATTGAGATAAGGTCGTGTTTAGTTAAAATTTCATTAATTATATTATCGATATAGTTATAACATATAATTTAGTTCATCATTGTTCATTACGCAAACAAAGACACGGACTAAAAAATGGGCTAAAATTTATATACTTGAAAAAATAAATTAAAAAAAAAATGATGAATGAGATAAATCTTTAGTAAAATGAAATAAAGAAAGAAAGATGTGTGATATTTAAATTCAAGATAAATTTGGTAATGAAAGAGATTTTGATGGATGACATTAATGTATAGTAGAAAAACTGTTTATAGCACTTTACAAGTCAACTAGTACGTACCCCGTGCGATGCACGAGACAGAGATATTAAATGAATTATTTTCACAGTCTTTTTCGTTTAAGTCTAAAAAGTAATAGGGTTGTTATCTATTTTCTACCTCTTTTAATCAACGTTATGTCTAAAAAAAACAATAGGGTTATAAGCTTTTTTCTACATCTTATAATCAGACGATGTTTTTTTAGCCAGAACATTAGATATGTACATGTTAGGGATAGCTTGTCAAATAATTAATATATTATCTCACTAAAACATTTATACTAATAAAAATTAAATTTTAGCATATAAAATTATCCATTGGGCATTGATATAAGAGAAAGTAACAGTTTTACTTATTTTTGTTCACCATATAGTATTTACCTATCTTTTTATTGTATAATATAAAGGAATACTGTTAAATAGTTTAATAGTGTTATAAAATTATATGAATTATTTATTTTTTACAATATGGATTTAATATCTTTTTATAATTTGATAATATAACTATAATATATTCTTAATGATATAATGGTTTACTTTTATAGTGGTCTCATCAGTGACGGATCTAGAAATTTCACTCAAGGGGGCTCGATTTTAAATGTTAAATAACGAGCTTAATGTTCAAGTTGAAATACTCGTTTCATATAAATATAAATATAAATATAAATAATGATACGTGTACCATAAAGTTTTTAAAGACATATAATCCGTATCACACTCAAACTTTAAAAA